GACGTTACAGGAAAAACAGTCAAGCTGCTGTGCAAGGTGCGAGACGACTGGAAGCTTCTAGAAGCGCCTCATCCTGAGGGCGCCAGAGCTGCGGGAGTCCTCGCCTCTGATTGGCTGCTGCCTCGTTGGTCGCCACACTGCTCCCCCTCCAGCGACGTACCTTGGGTCGGCGCGATTTTTTTCCTTAGATAGGTACGTGGATTAGTTGGTCGTTCTCCCGAAGGTAAAGCCATCTGGTAATTAGGGGCCTGTGCTAAGGTGGATGGGCGACTTCCTGTGTCCATCCTAGGTCTGCTTGCAAGTTTCTGCTCTATACGCGTTTCTTCTTGGCCTGAAGGTTCATTAATCATGTAGGCTGGTTTCAACCGCTCGATTGATACGTTCACCGCAGAACGGCCAACTTGGATTCGGAAGACCCTGTCGTCAACACGTTCCAAGACTTGGTAGGGTCCTTCATAGACTGGTTCCAAGGGTCTCCTTGTTGCATCTGTTCGTAGTAAGACGTGTGAACAGCTATGAAGATCTTTGTGTACGAATAGGCTCTTCTTATTGTGATGTGCTGTCGGGGTTGGTTTCAGGTGCGCCATGTGCCTTCGGAATTTGTCAGCATATATCTGTGTCCCCGAAGAATCTAGATCATGGTAAATTAGTTCTCCAGGTATTCTTAATGTCGTTCCATAGACCAATTCCGCTGCCGAGGCTTTTATGTCTTCTTTGTATGCCGTTCTTAATCCTAGCAGTGCGGTGGGTAATGCATCCGTCCAGTCTTGTTTATCGTGGCAGCTCAGTGCTACTTTGAGTGAGCGATGCCACCGCTCGAGAATACCGTTGGTTTGAGGGTGGTACGCTGTCGATCTTTTATGCTCACAGCCGAGAAGGTTGGCCAAAGCGTTGAATGCTCGCGATTCAAATTGACTTCCCTGATCTGTGATGATCACTTCCGGTGTACCAAACCGGGCAACCCAGTTTGTGTAGAAAGCTTCGCTGATGGAGTCCACTGTCACTTCTTTTAGTGGCACTGCTTCCGGCCAGCGTGTAAAACGATCTATCATTGTAAGGCAATATTTGTAGCCTTTTGATGCTGGAAGCGGTCCTACTATGTCCAGATGTACATGTTGAAACCGTTTTCCTGGTATCGGGATGTGTATATCTGCTTCCCGATTGTGGCGACTGACCTTATTGAGCTGACAAGGCAAGCATGTTTTTGCCCGTGCTAGGATGTCCTTCTTCATGTTTGGCCAAACGAAGCGCTGTCTCACAAGTAAGCTTGTGGCTTTGCCGCTCGGATGTGACATGTTGTGGCACATGTCGAAGACTCGTTGACGTAAAGCTTTCGGAATATAAGGACGGGCTGTGCCTGTGGAGATGTCGCAGTAGACAGTTTTCTCTGAGCCGTCAATACGTAGTGGTCGTAACTGTAGTGCTGTCGTTGACTTCAGGACGTGTTGCAGCTCTTGGTCCTTGAGTTGTTCCTCCGCTAGTTCCTGTGTATCAGTGATAACTGGCAACGTGATAGCCTCCAATCTGGATAGTGTATCCGCTACAGTATTAGAGTCGCCTGCGATGTATTCAATGTCAGTGGTGAATTGACCGATGAAATCTAACTGCCTGAGTTGGCGAGGTGATGCTTTTTCGGAATTCTGCTGAAAGGCATACGTCAAAGGCTTGTGATCCGTCTTGATGCGTAGCCTTTGACCTTCTATTAGATGCTTGAAATATTTTACTGCCTCGAAAACCGCTAGAAGCTCGCGGTCGTAGGCACTATAATTTAACTCGCTGCCTTGTAGTTTCCTGGAGAAAAATCCTAATGGTTCTTCTTTATGCCCACTGTATTGCTGCAGAACTGCACCGATTGCTGTGTTGGAAGCATCGGAGGTAATGACAAAGAATGCCCCTTCTCGTGGAAATGCTAGTGATGCTGCTTGCGCCAAGCTTTGCTTACATTTTTCAAAGGCTTCTTCTGCTTGTCGTGTCCAGCTTATGGGTCTTCTGTCTTTTTTCTTGCTTTCCTTTAGGTACTCATAAAGTGGTGCTTGGATATCTGCCGCATTCTTGATGAATTTCCTATAGAAGTTTATCATTCCTAAGAAGCGTCTAAGTCCGTCTATTGTTTGAGGTTTCGGCATGTTTGTTATGGCTAGG